TTTCAGTGAACCAGTAGCGGCAGCAGCACGAGGCTCTGCCCACCCACCTAGACATCATTATAACCCATTTTTGACCCTCTGCGCATGCGCAGAAGACTTTGCGCATGCACAGAGGGTCAAAAATTGTATGTGATGAAGGCGCGTGCGTGAAGCCAGCGAGTGGAGCTAGCGCGCGCACAGAATGCACACTTCCGAACCAGTAGGGAAGGTAAGTAGATTTAACCCCTGACTCCGGGGCCTTGCTTAGGGTCACACAGCCATGGGGCTGGTTAGTGCCCTGAAGTACCCCCTGCCTCTTAAATAATTTTAACAATTCTTGTGTCTTTCAAATTTTATATACTGTTTTATGCTTTCAGTATTTTACTGTACACTCCCTAGAATGTCTCTTTGAGGGAAATGGGCAACTCTTAAATATGATGAATAAATAAAAATAAATAGATTCCTCTGACTTTGTTTCTCTCCCCTCTGAACCACCGACCTCAGTTGGGTGGAAAACTTCTACCAATCATTCTCCATAATGCCACGTGGGGCTAGAGCTGGTGAGGGGCATGTTGGTGTTGCTTGATGGCCTGGCCATGTGTCAGTGTGGTTTTGTGCCTGTAGATTCAAAGAGAGTCCATCTATCACCTGGAATATTGTTCTTCTGCAATAATGCTCTTCTGCAATTGTGCTAAATCTGTATTGAAAAACCCAATGAACAACAGCTGGCAGTCCCAAAATTATGCCATGAAAGAGAGACTGCCAAAAACCTGTTCTCCGGTTTACGGTTCAGCCCTTTCTACTGCTATGCTAATCAGCTGCTGGCTGGTCTAGTTCGGATATCTGAGCTGGGAACTGGCTGAGAGACTTGGAAGGTACAGGGGAAAACTCAATTGGAAATAATTGGACTCTCCCACTGCCTAGAGCAGAATGGTCCTGGAAGACAATGCCTATGAACTGGGAGAGAATACACGTGGCCATACTGTGGAAAAATGGCTAGTTAGGTACAGAACGGCTCTCAACCCTCAGAGGTTGACTCTGCCACTGCTGAAATATGACTAAATCTATAGCAAAAGTCGAGTGAATCTCAAGAGGAAACAATTTTAACACCGATTTAGCTAAATATGACTTAAAAGTTGCTTCAGGTAGGGGATGGAAACAGATGAAGGCACCCTGAGGACACAGATGAAAATAGACATTGCTAAGGCATGTGCCAGAAATGTCTACCATTGTGATTTATTTGTGCTAGGGTTTTGGATCTAATGGCTGTCACATTTCTATTTAACTTAAAAATAACCCAGAACAAATGCTATTCTCATTTTCAGTTTATTTTAGGCTATATGTAGTGTTTGTAACTTGTATAAACTAGTTACATCTACCCTGAACACTGTATATACATCCAAATGTATATACCTAAACTTTCGGAATTCCTTAGTCAACATAATCATTGCTGATGTTTGGAAGTCTTCACATCTACATTATACCAGTATCTTCACATGCCATTATACCTTGATGAAAGACCATTCCTTTCATCCAGGTAGATTTTATGGAGCTCTTTGGGATTACATATCAAACGATGCTTGTTTGTTATCAACAAATGTAGCCCAGACTCCGGATCACTTATCCCAAGTCATACGACTTTGAAACGATTTTCTGTGGCTTGTTTTATGGCTTATCACAATATGGCTATCAAAACCCTGAAGCAGCGACAAACTTTCCATAATTTAGTTTAACTTAGTTTGAGGGTACACCTTTAGCTGTAAACTCCCAATCTGTGGCATTTGGATGACCCTATAAATTTTAAATCACACTGAAATATTCCTAAATTTGCAATTTGACGGAAGAAGCACCCAACTGCAATTCCAAATTAGTTGCCTTATATTCTGGAAATGTGATTGTTCTATTCACTACCTAGTTATGTATGGTGACATGATAACAGATTTCCAATATTTAAGGGGCTGCCACAAAGAAGAAGGGATCAGCCTATTCTCCAAAGCACTAGAAAGCAAGACAAGAAACAATGGATGGAAAGTAATCAAGAAGAGAAGCAACCTAGAACTAAGGAGAAATTTCTGACAGTGAGAACAATTAACCAGTGGAAACACTTGCCTTCAGAAGTTGTTGGTGCCTCATCACTGGAGACTTTTAAGAAGAGATTGGGCAGCCATTTGTCTGAAATGGTATAGGGTTTCCTGCTTGAATAGGGGGTTGGACTAGAAGACCTTCAAGGCCCTTTCCAACTCTGTTGTTCTGTTTGGTGAACTTTGAGATTTACTGAAGGATCTAAGTAGGGGTGCTATTCAGCAGGTTCTGACAGTTCTGGAGAACCAGTAGTGGAAATTTTGAGTAGTTCGGAGAACCGGCAAATACCACTTCTGGCTGGCCCCAGAGTGGGGTGGGAATGGAGATTTTGCAATATCCTTCCCCCCGGAATGAGAAGTGAATGGAGATTTTGCAGTATCCCTCCCCTGCCCACCCATGCCCACCAAGCCACACCCACAGAACCAGTAGTAAAAAAAATTGAATTCCACCATTGGATCTAAGGAATAATTGCAATAATAGGCCTAATTGGATGAAATGTAATAATTAGCTAAGATATTTACCTGGTCTTGGATGTTCTGGTAACTGCTTAAAACCTGCTGATATTGATAGTTTTTTCTGTATTTATACCTGTGAGAGAATGGGATATTTTTGTAAAGGAAATATATAAATGAATACAAACAGGATTGTTTCCTATTGTTGAACTTTTTTTTTTTTTTTAAATGGACTGCATTTTAGTGGATATGAGCCTTCATGGAAAGGCTCATTTCCATGGAATTGGTTCCAAAATTTGATAGCTTTGAAAATTGAATAATTAACCTCCTCCATTATATAAACTCATTGTTACATCTTGTTTCTTTAAAAACTGTTTGCTGTCAAAGTATGATTTATTAGTCTAATTTGCACTGCAGAAATTAAAGTATTAGGAAATATTCGTTTGAATGACCTCTTTCTCTCTTCTCTTGCTTTATTCAACATAATATCATTGCAGTCTCAAACTATTTTGCAGAAGTTGTAAACAGTTATCAATACTTTTAACCAGCCCCAAAACTCTCCTGAAATCTCCCCTTTAAGCTAGCCTCATCTATTGTGGTTCTCTGATTTGCTATAAATTTGAGAGTTTCATCTAAGAGGGAAACTGCAAAGCTGAAAATAAAACGAATTGAGGCTGATGATGGAAGTGCAGAATATCAGTGTACCATCATCTAGTTGTAATTTTTAAAGTAGGAAATTAGCAACTTGTCCTTAGACGAATTCACACGATCCACTTGGCTCTTGTTTGAAAGCTTCCATTCCAATTGAACACCTGCACATAATGAGAACTTGGATAATGAAGCTATGAAACAATGAACTTGATGCATGTGCAAAATCATTCTGCTTTGTGTATGTATGAAATCATAAAATGCACCAACATGTGCCCCAAACTACAGATACGTGCAGCTGTTTAGTATGGTTAACAAGGGGCAGCTGGATAATGAAAACGGCAAATATATGATCCAAACTGTATGGAAGATTAAATTCATGTAGTGCATTGGCATCCTGGGCTTTAAATTAACTGAGTAAAATTGTATTTCTCTCCTAAATGCATGCATGTACATCGGTATTACTAGAAATGGTGTATTTTTAAATGGTCTTTGGAAAAACAAAGGCTAGGAACAGATGTGTGGCTCCTTCGGTGAAATGCTTGGTAGAAAGACGAGAGTTTTTTTTTAAAAAAAAATTCAATAAACAATAAACCTTGGCATTGTTCTCCTTGTCCTAAAGCAGCTTTCTCCAACTAGTGTTTGGGATAACAAGCCCCATGATGGCTGGGAATTCTAGGAACTGCAATCCGATGTTTCTAGTGGTCACCAAATTACAATACTGTTAAAACTGTTTTCAGTAATGGCTAACCAGGTTTGGTTAATCCGCAACGGCTGTTTATGAGTTGATTGCTCAGTATTTGAATCATATTTGGTCATTTTCCAGGATGGAAAAACTATCTTGTATACAAAGCATATGGTGTGATGTGGGAGTGCTAAATATGCAATCATATTTATTTATTTATTGTTTAAATATGGGGACAAGCAAATAAATTATGTATGTGTTGGAAGAAACGTCCATCTGGGTTCAGTTTCAAGTGGGGAAAAAGACACTGGAAGTTGCTTGGAAAGAAGGTTTATTGATGAATAGGATCACATGGCTTGAGATCCTGGGCAAAAAGGGCAGAGATCAGTGGTGGGTTCCTCCCGGTTCGGTCTGGTTCGGCCGAGCCAGTAGCGGTGACGATATGACATCAGCAAACCGGTTCTCCCCCCCCCTCCCACCCCCCACCCCCCACGTTATTCTTACCTTTTATTTGGTCCCACCCCCAATCTATTGCTGCCTCCTGAGTCCCAGCTGATGACTAGAGGGAAAAAAACTGTTTAAACTCTTGCTGTGGGGCTTCAAAGGGCCATCCTACAGCTGATCAGTGTTAAAAGCAAACAAATGAGTTGGGTCGTAAGTGTGAGGACTGGTCGTAAGTGCAAGGACCTTCCAGAAATGACTCTGACCACCTAGCCACACCCACCTAGTCACATGACCTCCAAGCCACACCCACAAAATAAGCCACACCCACAGAACCGGTAGTAAAAAAATTTAGAACCCACCCCTGGCAGAGATGCTGAGAGTGCCTGGGTTTTATGCCCTCTGTTGGGCTTTGAATTTGAGCTTGTGTTCTGATTGGTTGTCAGACTCCCATGCAGGGGTAACTTTGTAGGTTGTCTTTTGAGTCCTAAGCTTGGTTGACTCTTGCTGGTTGATGATGTAACGAAAAGGGCTTTGCACAATTCCTATTATGGCTCTGCCTGAAAGAGGTAGATCTTTGTTATGTAGAATAGACTGGCCCAGGTCTTAATGGCCCATTGACAAAGGTGGGTGGTGGGTGGTGAGTTTCTGCCTCCCTTTTAGGGGAAATATTCTGCCCTTTTAATATTTCCTAAAATATCTCATTTTCCTAGGAGAGGGGCGGGTGCTAACTTCCTACATATGTTTGGAAACCAATGAACAGAAGGAGCACCTAAGTCATTGCTATCTGGAAGATGGTTGTCATCTTAGCCTTTTTTTGTGGCACCAAGATTAAGGAACATCAGGTGCACTGCAAGTCAAGATCTCTATGAAAATTAGAAGACTGCTTAAGGAAGTAGCCACTTGGTAGTCATCTTCTCCTTTGTCTGAAGGAGGCTTCAGTGAGACAGAAGTTTGAGATGTTAGAATAAAGAACGTCCCTTGGTTCAGGGGTTGTGAAGGTTCTAGATCAGTGGTGGGTTCCTCCTGGTTCGGCCCGATTTGGCCGAGCTAGTAGCGGTGACAATATGAAGTCACCAACTGGTTCTCTTTGTTCGGGAGCTGGGCCCTCCACCCCCCCGCATTATTCTTATCTTTTATTTGGCCCCGCCCCCAATCTATTCGCTGCCTCCCGAGTCCCAGCTGATTGGCTAGAAGGAAAAAAAACTGTTTAAACTCTTGCCGCGGGGCTTCAAAGGACCGCCCTACAGCTGATCAGTGTTAAAAGGCAGTGTGGTGGTAGACCAGTGCACTTGAAAAACAAATGAGTAGACCGGTGCCCCCAAAAACAAATGGGTAGACTGGTGCCTCCAAAAACAAATGGGTAGACCGGTGCCTCCAAAAACAAATGGGTAGACCGGTGCCTCCAAAAACAAATGGGTAGACCGGTGCCTCCAAAAACAAATGAGTAGACCGGTGCCCCCAAAAACAAATGGGTAGACCGGTGCCTCCAAAAACAAATGAGTAGACCGGTGCCCCCAAAAACAAATGGGTAGACCGGTGCCCCCAAAAACAAATGGGTAGACCAGTGCCCCCAAAAACAAATGGGTAGACCGGTGCCCCCAAAAACAAATGGGTAGACCGGTGCCTCCAAAAACAAATGAGTAGACCAGTGCCCCCAAAAACAAATGGGTAGACCGGTGTCTCCAAAAACAAATGGGTAGACCGGTACAGCTCTGCAAGCAGGTAAAAGCCTGGAAGACCAGTACCTCTGCTAAATTCTAAAGAATTGTCACATGACCATCAAACCATGCCCACAAAATAAGCCACACCCACAGAACCGATAGTAAAAAAATTAGAACCCACCCCTGACCTGGTTGTATCCATCATTTTAATGTCTTTGAGTACCTTTGTAAATACCTCATGCTAGGAAAGTCTGAATATTTAACAGCTAAGAACATGAAATGTGCTCTTCTCCGTTAAGAAAAGATAGTGAGTTAGAAAAGTACTTGCACTGCCTGGTAAGAAATATATTATGGTAGGGCTACACTCATTTTACAGCCCTGATTACAAGACATTTCTGTGAATGAGAAATTGTGGGTGAGATTAATATTTTTACAGCTGTTCCAGTTTTAACTGGGGGTTAGTTAGGTTTAATATTGTCTTGTATATTATCCAAAGCAGGGGTCACCAACCTTTAGGACCTCAGGGACCAGTAAATTCATAATTTTAAATCCCGTGGACCACTAATATGATCTGCCTAATGACTGTCTGGGTGGGTGTAGCTAGGTGGTCATGTGACTGGGTGGGCATGGCCAACTCCTCACCTCCCCGCCTATGCTCCTTAGGGCCCCAACAGGAAGCAGTTGTTGGAGCTAAGCAGCCACCATGAGAAAAATTTGGCAAAACAGCTCAGTTCAAATTGGATCTGTCAGAGAAGGAGGCTCAGCAGAAGTATCTCACTGAGGACTAGGAACATAGGCTTTCCAAGCAGAGGGAAGACTTGCGGGAGTGCAAGGCGCCTGGAGGCTCAGCAGGCTGAGATGGTCAGCCAGTTCCAGGCCATGAGGCAGTCCCACTGGAACAAGGCCCTCCGGCTCTTCGCTACCAGTGGCAATTCCCTCCAGCCTTTGCCCAAAGCCCTGCACCAGGAGGCCAAAGCAGACCCCAAGTTGGAATTTCTCCCCCCCTCCGACCCACACAAAAAGACCCTGAAGGGGGAGACTCTCTGCAGCAACACAAATGTTCATTGCACGTATCCATCCCAGGGCCCGTAGTTTGAGGACCCTTGATTTAGCGCAATATAAAAAATGCAAATAATTTTTCTGTGGACCACCAAAATTTTCTCGCGGACCACCAGTGGTCCATGGACCACCAGTTGGTGACTACTGATCCAAAGTATATGAGTTGAAGGGTATTTGAATATTGTAAAATAATGAATTCTATTAAACTTATTCATTTAGCAAGCTATAGTAATGTTGTTTACAAATAATACACTATGAACCATAATCCCGTAACCATAACAACTGGGTCCATACTAAGCCAAATTCAAAGAAATTTCATTACAACAAGCCTTTGTTGTGTGGTAACATTCTTCTCTTTGGTCAACAAGAATAGCTTATTGCATTGGCAATGTCAAATGTAGCAAAGTGGAACTCTTTCTAGCGAAATTACAACCGGAGTGAAACACTGCAGTAATAAATTCTCATACAAGATGACCCGATCCTCACCTCTGAAACTAATATTCAGGCCAAAACCTTTGTACTTTAGAAATGTTCAGATTCACATTCCAGCAAAATGGAACAAAAAGAACTTCAAAGTAAGTTTTAAAGTTTCTTTTGTAAGAGACAGGCATTTACAATATGTGCTGTGATGGGATTTTGGTGCAATTTTATTATCTGCCCAAGATTTATAAGGAAGCAGAGCACAACTGACTTAGAATAAACATTTAATGACTATTGCTTATCCTTAATGCAGATATTTTTCTACCGTTAAAGTAGGAAATGTTGATTTTGTTTAAATGTGTACTTTTAAATAATGTGGAACTTTGAGAGATTAATAACTGAATACGGACTTCGATATTTCTTCATATAAGTTGAACTAATTAAAGCTACCATATTTTTTAGTGTATGAGACACACCTTTTTCCCCCCTAAAAGGGGGTGAAAATTTAGGTACGTCTTATACACTGAATGTAGCCCCGCCCATCCACTGGCCCCCACCTTTGGCCTCTGCCTTGCAGCAGTTACCACCTTGCAAGCAAACAGCAAGAAAAAACAGCTCCTTCCAGCTTCAGCACAGCCTAATTAGCACAAGTTGATTGGATTGGCCTCCCGACTCTCAGCTGATTTGCTCTCAGCTGTTTTGCACAGGGCTCTGCTGCTTGCTGCAAAGAGGTAAATTGCTGGAGCAGATTTTTTTTCCTTGTGCTAATCAAGCTATGCTGAAAATGAAAATGAAAGTAAAGCAGTCTGTTTGCTGTTTGCTGCAACGAGGCAAAATTGCTCAGAGGCAGAGGCAGAGGGAGATTTATTTTTCTTCTTTTCCTCACCAAAACAGTAGGTGCGTCTTATACTCCGGTATGTCTTATACTCCAAAAAATACAGTAGTTTACACTGACATAACTATTTTGTATCATGTATGATACTTACTAAATTTTCATTCCGTTTATTTTCTATTTACTCTTATGATGTTAAATCATTTAAGAAACTACCTTGTAGTGCAGTGTTTCCCAAACTTTTGACATATGTGTACCCCTTCTATAATTTTCGTAATGCTGAGTACCCCTCATAAAAAACATATGCTTTAATAAAAATCAAAATATATTAATTTTTCCTTTTTTTGGTACATATACAAAATAAACGAAAGTTATATTATAAAGAACATTTATTTGATTCAATGAGAAGGATGAAATTGTTTATGTTGAGATGACAGATCATCATAATTTGGTTCCCTGGTTGTTAATGATGAGTTGCGATACGATGTACGATGGCCCCAGTTCCCATGTAAAAACTGTGATACGCGCCTATTTCTTTCCTTGTTCTGTGGGCGCAGCTAAGCACGGTACAGTGGATATTCCCACGTGATCCCCACCAAACTCCGGTGCAACGCGTACCCCCACCAAACTCTTCTCGTACCCCTGGGGGTACGCGTACCACACTTTGGGAAACACTGTTGTAGTGAAACAAAACATGTGTTCACATTACACAAAAACCAGCATGGAGAAGAAGAGGGAAATTAGAACATATTTTATAGTTGTCCTTCTCCTTATGTAAGATTCGCTGAGGAAGGATGTAATTGTGGCAGTTTACTAAAATTAAAACGTAAGAATCCACAAGGTTTGAAGAATTTGTGAATTTAAAGAATTCTTAATGAAACTGTAGATCAGCAGCAAAGTTGCTCTGTGACATCTAATGTGAGAGAAAAGGTTAGCATAGAGCAAAGAGCCCCTGACACATAGTCAGTTCTCAATTCTTTACATTTTAATTTTATGTAGCAGGAGAAAAAAACTGTGTCAGGATAAACAAAGAGCATTAAACATTCTACTGAATGTGAATATAAGTCAGGATTCTCATTTCAATGAAGGTAATGACTTCTTACATTATCCAAAAAGTTAAACACAAGCTAAATAGATTCTATTATAAGCTTCTTCCTCCAAATCTTGAGATAAAAATGACCTTTAACAGAAAGGTCTTGGTAACTGATTTTTTTTTGTAGATAGTGTACAAGCAGACTGAAACAAGGACATCTGTTTTGATGTCAGAAGAGTAATGACTGTAATACTTTAAGGAAAAAGAGGTAGGATTTTGGCAGGGAGAAAAGAACAGCGAAATTGCTTTGGATGATAGCCACTTAGATGATAGCCACTTGAACATTTCCACTTGAGGTTCAGGGTCACCCTGATGGACACATTTCATAGTAGCACAAGATCAGACCATTTACACAAATAGGTCATGCTTTCTTCTGACCTGTTAATTGCATTATGGTAGATTGCAGCTTTACCATAAGGAAGGCTGAGCGCCAAAGAATTGAGGCCTTTGAACTATGGTGCTGGAGAAGACTCCTGCGAGTCCCTTGGACTGCAAGGCGATCAATCTGGTCAGTCCTAGAGGAGATCAACCCTGACTGCTCTTTAGAAGGCCAGATCCTGAAGATGAAACTCAAATACTTTGGCCACCTAATGAGACGGAAGGACTCAGTGGAGAAGAGCCTAATGCTGGGAACAATTGAGGGCCGACAGAGAATGAGGTGGCTGGATGGAGTCACTGAAGCAGTTGCAGTGAGCTTAAATGGATTCTGGGGGATGGTAGGTAGGACAGGAAGGTCTTGAGGAATGTTGTCCATGGGGTTGCGATGGGTCAGACATGACTTCGCGACTAACAACAACATAGATTGCAGCTAGCATCAGT